TTAATACTGGATTTTTATTTTAATGTAGAAATATACAAACCAATATTATGCAAAATTAATAGAAAAATATTTAAGAAAATCACAAAAAAATTTAAAGGATTTTTTAATTTTTTCTAGATTTTTTTTGAAAAAGGAAATATATAATATAATATATTATTAATAAAATATTAAAAATATGGGCCGGCCCGACCCATATAATTGGGCCAGGCGATAAGCCAGGGAACAGTGGGTCGATCTTGGCCCAAAAAGGTTAGGCTGATATTGACCCAGAAAATTTTTAGGGCTGGGCCAACACTGGCTCGACCCATCATAAAATTGATTTATATGCAGAACGTGAACAATGTTCATGTTCTACATGCAATCGAAATGCTTGCCGAAAAAGGAGGTTGGTAGAGGAGCAACTATCAGGTGCGGTGGTGATCTATCAATGGAGCACGTTGTGCGATGGTGGAGCCGGCAGTGGGGACTGGTTGCAGATCGTAGAGGAAACAGAGAAGAAGAAGAGAACAGGAGGAGCTACAAAGAGGAGAGAGAAAAGTTCACGATGACACTCGATGGTCGATAGGTGGTTTCTTGTGGCGAAGCTGGTGGTGTATATGTTGTTGGTGGCTTCGGTTGTTGGCTGGAATGACGGAGAGAGAGAGGGAAGGAAAAGCTACAGAAATGAGGGCAGAAGGCTGGTTTTTGGTCGACGTTAAACCCGATTTTCTCCTCTCTCAGGCCATCAAATTCGCCTTTATTTATAGCCAGTAGAAGAGGGTAATCTCGTCTACATAAGGGAAAAAAACTCAGCCCTTGATTTGGTTAGGAAGCATCCCAACTATTGGCTCAAAGTGTGCCTCATGAGTTGTTCAATTTTGCAAAAAAGGCTGCCTGAGTTGGCTACTTTAGGCCAGCGCCGACGTCATCTCGTCGTCATTCAAACTGAACTATTCAGTCGGTGTTGTAAAGAAACTACACGAGATCATTCACGTGCACTTTTTATTAGATTTGACATAGCAATGAAGTATTAAATGCATCTAAAAAGTAGCCACGTGGGTAGCATTTCCGGCCAAGAACGGGGAAGACAATGAACAGTGTTAAACGATGCGTTGTCTGATTTTTTTCTTTTCAGAACGACGTTGTTTTTTATTAATTAGGGATTTTTATTGATTTTCAATCCAGCCCTCCAGCTTTCAATTGATTTCAATTCACCCTAAATTTTTTATTTAATGCAATTAAGCCCTTGGAGAACTTCAATTGGAACCCCGAAGTTACACATCTTTTACAATATGGTCCTTAGCATTGGATTTTGTCAATTAAACCTCTAATTAACCATTAAACTTTTAATTTTTTCAATTTCACCCCTGGTTTTTCAACTCAATGTTAGGAGTATATTGAAATACTAATCAGTCATCAAGGCTTTAATATTATGTCAGTAAACCAATTCAATCCAAAAACTTAAGTTATTAAGTGAGATCTAATATATGAATTATATTATTCTTTAATATAATTTTTTTAATTTTTTATATGGTTTTCTAATAAATGGACTTTAGTTTTTTTCTTTTTCTTTTTTATTTTTTCAACTCAATTTCAACTCAATGTTAGGAGTATATTGAAATAGGAGTATATTGAAATTAACTTGAGCATTAGTGAAGACTAAACCTCCCTTTTTGGAATACCAAAAGTATTATTTCATAAATAATAATTTTCTTAGATGGGTGCCTTGAATTTCATTTTTTTTTAAGATTTCCTCTCTTTTTCATTAGTATTATATCATTTTTTTAATGATAATCAAGAAATATATTAAAATAGCTATTTAATGACCGTAGCCATTTAATGACCAAAGCATGGCTACGAGAAGTTAATTATTTGTTATGTTTAAGATTATTATATATCTTTTTTTCATAAGTATTATCATTTAATGCAGCTAATCAATATGTATATATAGGATTTATCATAACGAAAGTTTAATATAACATGCTTAACGTTTATTATCAAAAATGATTGGAGGCTTCAGCATGACTTCATTTAATTTTTACTTGTAACTCTCCTGTTGTTTTCTTGGGCACTCAGGTTTACTAAATTTGAAGGACACGTTTCATATCACGGGGATACATTGATCAACTCGTGCCAATTACCAAGTGTTTGTTGTTTCATTACACCATGTTTTTCTAAATATTTTTAATTTTTTATCTCAAAATACATTTTCTAAAATATTTTTAGATGCTCTTATTATTAAAAAAATATAAAAAATTATTCAAATAAATTTTTAATTAAAAAAATCATTCACCACAATAATAAATAATAAAATAAATAGATGCAATTCTCAATTTATTTGATTCAAGATTTGAACCAAATTAATTCATTAATGGCGCATCAACTTAAACTATACCTTTTAAATTCTGAAAACGATGTGGCTTTCAGTTTTTTTAATAAAATAATATAATTTTAACTTAAATTATTGAGGTAGTCTCATGATCGTTCATCGCTGAGAAGTCTAGAAAACATTAATACTTTTTCTTTAGGAATCTAAAAGATCATCCACATATAACAAAAAAAAAAAAACGTATATTTTCCATAATTTCTTCTTGGATTCAAACTCTAATTAATTCAAACTAAGAAAGAGGTAAATGATTTCAACTACTTGGAATGGCCTCGATCGATAGATGGTTTTTGTATTTTTTTCCCCTTAACCTCACATATACTATTTTCTTTTCTTTTTTTAATCTAAAACTAAACTCAACCAATAAGGGACAGATATCAATGACTATGTAATGCAGAGATTTTAAGAAAAATAGCCGAAATCATCCTACCAAACTATATATGATTGAACATTGCGACTTTTATTTTCAAGCCAACAAAATTGAGATGGCTTTCATGCAGAAAAGTTAGATTTTTTTGGAGTGCGAGGGATAGGATTAATCTTGCCTAATCAGCTTGCAGAGTGTGATGTATTTTCAGATAATGAACAAGAAATTGTGGGTATAAATTATTAAATAAAAATTAAAGGATCCCAGCAGCTTTTTTTGATAACAAGCATCCCATCTGCTGTACGTATTTTCGAGGGGTGATAATTGGTATATATATTTATGTAAAATAGTTGAATATATATCAAATCTGATATACCTAGAGGTTTC